GCCCCAGTTCTCTAAAGTCCCTTTTGATCGTCTTTGTGCCTCTATCAGCTACCTCATCACTGCCAACCTGAACAACCAATAGTGGATAATAATCGGATGATTTTACTAGCCTAGGGAGCTTCCTAGTAATGTCTCTTATCCTTGCCCCAGGGAGGCAGCAGACTTCCCTATGGGATGGGTCCGGTCCAGTTTATACAAGAAGTAAGGAGAAATGGGAAAAACATAGACTTATCTATCCCATCCTTTCTTAGTACAAAGGTGTTCTCTGTACTATTCTTCTGGATTTTTGGTAGTCCAGTTTCAAATAATTTAACAATGGTGTCTCTCATGCTTCCCTTGGATAGGAAATTGTGAGAAGTTCCTTGATATTTAGTAGTCTTGTCTTTTTCAGTCTCTGCCTCAAGGTTCAAGAGACCCATTTTGTGCTATTTTTGTAGCTGATTGTATATGTTTGTATCACAATATTTTGACTTGGTAGCTGCTGTGTATTTAATCCTAATATGTTTCTTCAAATCAGTAATGTTACATTACCAAAACTAATGCAACTTGTGAATTACTGTACATAATATCCGTATTTGGTATATTCATAGCATTTTATTTTTATTATTGCAGTCTTCACCGAGTGCACTAATTATCAGAGTTTATAAGGAATAAGCTTTGCTAATGCTATTAAATCACTCAAGTGTGCTAAATTATGGCACCAGAGCAGGTGCTATTGTCTCCAGCTCTTTCGGAAAGAAAGGAAAAACCCTTAAACAATCCTGGACATTTCTACCTAAAGGAAACAATCCTTTATATTAATATAAAAAGATCGGTTTGTACTCAGTCAAGGGAATTCTTGGCAGTCGGTTTAAACTTACATGTATATATAGCACACTGGAGCCTGCTAAGTACCTCTGTTTTCTTTATGGATGGAGCTTTGGTGCCAAGAGGTCTGCACCACATACAAGTGGAGATATGTTTCTATCTGATGGATTGTCCCATAGTGAACCACATTGTATACAGGATGTTCAAACACGTATTGATTATGTGGTTCTGTAGTTTACAGCAGAATCATAACCTGATGCTTTTAAGTACATATATGCAATCAATCTTCATGTGAAGGAGCTCAGTACAAAAGAAATATTTTATGCTATACATTAGATGTTAGATTAAATGACATTAGATTAAATGTATGTTGTACATTTTTTTAACCTCAGCACCATAGCATTATTGTGAACCTATACAGTTCTTATAAGCATCATCTCTGTGCTGACTATGCACTGTAAATGTATAATAAAGTTCTTAGTGCGTATAACGCTATTCAGGTTTTAGTACCAGGTCTCGTGGTCAGCTACAAGGTAAAACCTCATGTAACACAGATGCAAATTTTTTATAGGGCTACTTTTATGTTTGTTACGTATCTGTAAAACTTTCGTTCAACATTGCATTACAGAATAAGAAACTTGTACTTGAGGGGGGAAATTAGCATGTTGATTAAATTTTAGTCCATCACGCAAATAAAATTGAAATATATATGCTTATGACTACCTTGCTTCTGGTACTATAATGCCAGCTTCCAACGGATTATTTGCAAAATATAGACAATTTGACTCAACTACCACTTCTAAATGTGGAAGTGAATACAAAATTTGTCAAGACTGACTTACGTTAGCAATTTTTGAAAGTGATTATGTTAGCTTACAATGCCTAGCTGTATAAAAGATGAATTAGGCTGATAGTATTTATTTGTAAGTTGGGACAGGAGTACTTGAATGATTCTTCTGGAGCAGCTTTCATGTTCAGAAGCTTTATTCCAATCTTTTGGATCTATGACAATTACAGAAATTGAAAATAAGACTATTTGGTGATAATATGGTGATCATGCTATTTACCCAAACAGTTGTGTCTGCATTCACTCTTTAACTCACATTTTCCAGTCATTCAGATTCCTTTTCCTCTCATTCATTGTTAGTGGAATTTATATGTTGACTCTGTGTTGTTATCCCTCATTATACAGGGTTTTAAAAAATGTTGCTCTGCTGTCACACAACTATCTCGGTACTCAATAACTATATTAGCTGTTGCTGCAGTGTGTGTGGTGGCTGTGTTACGGCAGGGGAAAAGAGCATGCTTGAAACTAAGTTTTAATTTGTCTGAAATTCAAAAGAATACTGTACAATAGTATTTAGAAAACTCCGCAAGCAGCTGGGTTTTAACCTGTAGATCCATTTGGCCGGTAATGTGTGCAGAAAAGATCTGGAGTAGATAAACCTTTGTAGAGACACATGTAGAGAGAATGGCCCGAGCTCGATTCCCAAACCTTTAGTGGAAGACCATCATTGTGTCCTCCACCACTGTGTTATAAAACTTGCTGCACACTGCTGTTGTGACCCTGCAGCGATGGTTCTCTGAGTTCCACAGGGCAAATATAAAAGCCTGCATCTAGAACTGGTCTATTAAGTAACGGTATAAAAGTCACTGCATGTGATGTTTCATGCCGTAATGGCTGTGTAGGTGTACATGCACAAGAATTCCCATTAACCATATGGACTCTTAATTACTTTTCACCATTACTTCAGGAAACTCAAATTTGCATTTAAGAAATGTTTAATTTAAAAATAATTTTCCTAGCTGTATACAACCAAATTTGCTATAATATCTTGGGTTCCTTCACATGACTAAATTTATTAATGTATTTCTAGGCTGTGCAAATAGTATTATTTCTTTCTACAGTGTCATTAACTTTGTCTTCTTGCCATGATGCTGTCTTGCCATATCTTCTTCAATTATTAGTTGTTACAATGACCAGTAAAGAGTATCAGTGACTGAAGATTGTGTAGCAAATGTATTAAGTTCCATTACTGTCTCATGTTTCTTTTTCTTTGCATTTTCTTACCTATAACTTACATAGTTAAGGAAAAAACAACCGTAAGGCTAATAATAACTGGCTGATTTTGTTTCCTAGTTTCATTTTTCATTACCTAAGTTATCTAATCTAAGTCACAGGGTTATGTTTCTAAAAGAGACATTTGAAATTTAAATGTGGATCTGTCTCTGTAACAATTATATATATATTTTAAATCTAAGTCTGGATTACTTGAAGCAACTAAAGCACTCATGCTTTCACTCTTGTAAAAAGACAGTGTGTGTAAATCATCTTTTCTAGGCGGTGCGCATGAGGGTCTCCAGCACTTGGGTCCTTATGGCAATATCCCAAACATCGTGGCTGAGCTGACAGGAGATAACGTACCAAAGGATTTCAGTGAAGATCAAGGATATCCTGACCCTCCAAATCCCTGCCCTATTGGAAAAACAGGTAATTCTGCTGTAGCCTTCGCACCTCTGTCTTCACTGTAACATCTTTCAGTCTTTCAGCGCTGTACTAGGCAGTACAACACTTGATCAACAACGGGTGTTTTCTTTCGTTCTCTACCCCAGGAGCAGAACTGTTGAGCAATCAGCTGGTTTAGACGAGATTTTTTTTGTTTTTAATATGTGCACCTTCTGTATTGCTATATGACTGCTAGAGAAGGTCAGGTGGAAGAAATCATCTTGACCTTGGAGTAGAAGATAGTGAGATCTATGATAGCATCTTGTTCCTGAGGGAGTTCATTTTTAGGCTGGCCCCTGAAAAAAGTTATCATTCTGTACAGATGAGATTTTACCCTTATTTTAGAGACTTTCATTGTGCCAAGAGGAATGAAACTGTCTGCCCTGATCTCCAACCCAGACCATGAGTCAATATTTAAGATACCTTGGCTCCAATCCATGTGGCTTTATAGCTCACTGAGGGTGCATCTGTGCCAAGAAATGGAGAACTACATGGACATACCCCAACGCGCTGCACGCAGGCTCACTCTGGCAGAGGAGCAGTGCAGCCTCAGAGTGCCAGAGCAGCATGGTACCTGAGACACCCGGTACGTCCCTCAGCTTGCAGCTGCGCATATACCAAGCCATGAAGGTGGCTAGTGCTGAAGGATCTCTAAAGCAGCACTGCATGTGCATGATATAGACATACCGTAAGGGAATTGATCTTTTTCCTGTTATTTGAGCCGAGGAATGACTTCCAGTACTGAAAGTAGTAGTAAAACACCCATTGGCTGACTTGGGAGCTGGAACTGGGAATGAGCACTCTATTTTTCTCTCATTTTTTATTTGTGAGCTAAGAGGTCCTTTCAAAATCTTTTCTGTTTAGTTGTCTTTTATGTTATTTGGATAATGCAAAACAGTTGTCTGTATTCTTATTAAAAAATGTTCTAACTAGCTTAGAATTGATCAAGAAATAAATATTTGTCATGAAAAGTTTTGCAAACTGTTTTTACATTTCATTCAAAAATATGACAAAATTTTGAATAGTCCTCTCTTACTGTTTTCTATTACAGCCCATTTGCTGCTGATACCTGCATCTCTTCTGAAATAATATCTAATCTTCCATTTTGTTCACTTATAACTATTGTCTGACAGGTTTTAAACGATGGGTTAAGGTTTTCTCACACACAGACTTTCTATCTTCTGTGCTTGCCCATTAGACCTCTGTTAGTGATTACATAAATAAATGAAAAACTTGGCATCCAGAGAAATGCCTTTGAAAATCCCTTCAATTTTTCTTAGGTGAAATAAAAGTTGTTAGCTAAGCTGATACAGTCAGATCTGAACACAGGGGGAATTCTTAGGGAAGTGCTGCCTGCTCAGATAAATGGCTCTGTCGTAGGTACGCTGTGAGTGAAGATAGTATCTACTAGGATTAGAGTAAAATGTTTTTCAGAGCCTTAAATGGAAATTCAAGTGGTGACTGCATTATGCATACAAATTACCAGAGGCCTTCCTCAATCAGGTCTGTGGATTTGCTTAATGGAAAACAATTTTTCCAGTCACTGTCTACATATCAGGAATACATAAGCCTGGAGCACTTGAGCTTGAAGATTTTTGGATTAGCAGTCGCAGAGGGCACACATATGTCCAGCTACCCTTTGTGCTTTCAAACAAAAGACATGGATGCTCTGAGAAGGTCTACCACATTTCTGTTGTCACCTGCTTCTCTCTTGAGATGACCCTGTCCCTGCTAAGGCTGAAATAATTTTTAAGTGCTTGTAGTTAACTTTAATGGTTTCTGAGTTACTTAGCCAGTATGGTTAGTTTTCCCCTGTTTCCTATTGGCAACTTTTTTTTTTCCCCCATTCTAAGGAGAAAACAGAGAAAGCTGGATCTGTTGGACTTAGAATAACCTCCTCGGGTCATTGAATCAACTCATTTTTAAGTCATCTTTACTGTTTCCCACATCTAAGGGAAAAAGATAATCCATCTGCAAATCTTTTTACATGATGATCACACAAGGACAGAAGGGGATGTCCACAGGTGTGTCCTCTGGAGTCCCTGTGTTCTGGCAGACGCAGCTGCTTGGATGCCCAACATCATGCCCCGGGTGGAAGGATCTCCTTGGCTATGTCTGAGAGAGGAACTTGGACTGCAAATTTCCCATGCTGACAAAGCAGAGGGAGCTTCAGGGGACTCTCTCCAAAGAGCTACTCTGGCCTCAAGCTGCTGAATCTTCGTTTAATCTAAAGATGACTTATTTTGGTAAAAAGTCCATAAGCTGGTTTTTAAAAGGGTATTATCCTTGATGTGACACTGTCTGCAAAACTATCCATTGTGATTAAAAGAGGCTTCTGGACCCATCAGATTAGTTCCCAATCTGCAGAAATGTCTTCAGCATAAAACTTCTGCCACATTGCATTTTTATGAGATCTTATGATGCTGTTGTAGTTTAACCCCAGCTGGCAACTAGGCACCACACAGCCGCTCACTCACTACCCCCCCCGTGGGATGGAGGAGAGAATCAGAAGAGTAGAAGTGAGGAAACTCGTGGGTTGAGATAAAGACAGTTTTATAGGTAAAGCATAAGCCGCACACGCAAGCAAAGCAAAACAAGGAATTCATTCACTACTTCCCATCAGCAGGTAGGTGTTCAGCCATCTCCAGGAAAGCAGGACTCCATCACACGTAATGGTTACTTGGGAAGACAAACACCATCACTCTGAATGTCTCCCCCATCCTTCTTCTTCCCCCAGCTTTATATGCTGAGCATGACGTCATATGGTGTGGAATAGCCCTTTGGTCAGTTGGGGTCAGCTGTCCTGGCTCTGTACCCTCCCAACTTCTTGTGCACCCCCAGCCTCCTCGCTGGTGAGGTGGGGTGAGAAGCAGAAAAGGCCTTGACTCTGTGTCAGCACTGCTCAGCAACAACAAAAATATCCCTGTGTTATCAACACTGTTTTCAGCACAAATCCCAAACATAGCCGCATACTAGCTACTGTGAAGAAAATTAACTCTATCCCAGCCAAAACGAGCACAGATGCATAAATGATTTTCAGCCATTTTGAACAAAGTGGGAAACCAGAAATGGAGTTCCATGAAAAGCTACTCAGTGAAGGAAATTCTGTCTTTGCTTACAGCATCGTTTTACCATGAGCTTCAAAAGTATTGCCTAAACAATTTCTACAACTTCTTGTGGGCATTTAAAAATGAAAAGAGGATCCCTTCTGAATCAGAATAACATGCAGTTCTATGTAAAATCAAACTCAATCACCAATTTAAAAGAAAAACAAAAAGGAGGGGGAGAGCTTGGAAAATAAATGTGTTTAGTTTTGAAGTTTTCTTAAGCTGTGTTTTTTAAAAAAAAGCAAATTAAATATATCCTGACCAACTCCTTTCAAAAGAAAAAAATACCCGATATTTTCCAGTCATCCAGTTCTTTAAATGTTTGGTTTTGTTTTTTTTTTTAAATTGCATAATTGCATTTAAGAAGTTTGCTGATTAGTGTGGCGCATATTGTGTGTTTTAAAGCTACTACGCGCTCAGTGCTTTCTAACATACTTTTGCAGTTGATGATGGGTGTCTAGAAAACACCCCAGACACAGCTGAGTTCAGCAGGGAATACCAGCTGCACCAACACCTTTTTGATCCAGAGCATGACTATCCCAACATGGGCAAGTGGGTGAGTATGTGCTTCTTGCTTATTTTTGTTGCATGTGAAACTGGGTATTGTCTGCTGCGTGGGATACTATGAAACCATAAGGAGAATATTGTGCTTATTGCTGGAAAAATTATCACCCTAAGGGAAACTTCTCAAAAAGGTGAACTTGCCCTTAAAAATATAGAAATAATGCCTGTGATTGATGAAAAGCCCATAAAAATACAAAGTAGAAATCCTTGTCTTATTACCTGTCCCAAAGCATGACAGCTATGTATGTATTTGATAAATTCAACAAACTACATTTCAAACTATAGTGAACACGTAACCAAAATTAGTGCAAATTTTAGCATAAGATTTCAAAACATAACAGGGCCCTAATCTGAAAGATTATCCAGGTTCAGTGGAGTGCAGCAGTGCTTAAACACCTTAAAAAAATCTAGGTCCAGACAACTTGCTCTAAGGAATTCTCTCTGGCTTAAGGATTTTGGTGGACTTAATGCTATTCATGTTGTGCATTATATTATATAGAAAATATATTTTACACATCATGTATAATAAATACAATGAGCTACACTAAGGGCAAAAATCTTGCTCTGAGCATACAAGGACTTTAATAACTCCAGCCAGACTATTTCTGCAGGCTAGAGGCTCCAAAGAGAGCTCTGCCGCTTAATCTTAGATTACATCAGTTAAATGTCCAATCCCAAATCCATCTTCAGGCGCCAGGAAAACAATAACAATGATCATAATTTATGCTTCTAGAGCAAATCATGAAATCTCATTTTACATTGTTATAACACTTTACTTAAGATTGCCCTAAACCAGTGCTCTGTAAGTATATATCGATAAATGGACATGTTTGGCAGCCTCTTCTCCTGTAATTGTGAGACAATGATTCATCATTCATAATGAAACCAGTGTAAGATTTATAGTCTTAATTACTTATGTGAGTGCTAAATTTCTAGAGAGAATCATGCCAAAAATCCAAATTTTGGAAACTCTTGTTGCATTCTAAGTAATTACCATCAAAGGTTTTCATTTTAAAAACACCAGATGGTGAACTTTCTTATTTATGCCAGATAATGCTGTTAGTTTTCTTATTATTCATAAGTAATTTACTTTCATAATACCATTTTGAAGACTATAAAAGCACTTCGTAAATCTTTGGCCTATAGCAATATTTCAGAATCAAGCATACATACTGCGTTGTCATCAGCAACATATATATTAACAAATGGTAGGTAATCATTAGTAAATACTGGCCTTTTTTCATTTCTCCATCCATCACTACTAATTCAGGGGAAAAAACTGCTCATGCATCGATTAAAACAGACTGTTAGGTACTAAACAGTAATCATATCTAGCTGCAGCATAGCCAACTCCAGATCTTTTTAATTAGAGATGAAACAGCTGGTAATGTGCATGAGCAAATGTTCTGCCGAGATCCAGGACGATTGCCCCGATTGCCTCCTCATTGTATATTACTACACGTTAAAAAGATAAATACAACAGTATCTGGTTTTATGGCTGGTTTTGTTATTTTTATCTCCCTGGAAAAATAAGAGCAGAAAAGCACTCTAAAAATTAGCTGTTTGAGACTTTATAAAGGAGAGAGAAAGTAGATCAGATCCTTTAGGTCATTTACTGTCATCTGGATTAGGTTGTAAATGACTGACACAGCTGACTGCAGGCTGCCTAGCGGGTAACTGTGTGCATCCTCATCCTCCCACCACCCCCAGCCACCAAAATCCCCCCTGCGCCAGCAGCTGGGACCAAATGTCCCTGGAGCTGTAGCGGCTGTGTATTTACAGACTGCATTTTCATGAACTCCTGCGTGCTGTGAAGGCGCTAGGCTGTCACCACTGTCTGAGGCCCTCGGAGTTCGTGTGTCTCCTGGACCCGTGTGAGCTGGCGTGTGCTCGCAGCTCTCGGGGGAGCTTCTCCCCTGCCTTTTCCTGCCACAGAGGCAGTGTTACAGTTCCCACTGACTTGTCCGTTCAAGGAGCCAGCGTGCATTCCTTAGCGTAACCACAGTAAAACCCAAATTATATTAGCAGGTCAGGAAAAAAAAAAGACCTGCTTGTTCATGAATAATGGGAAAGAAACAGGTTGATTAGTTTGTTTTGGTGACAGACTCTTATGCTTGCAAAGCTGTGGGACCTCTGCAGTACCCTGTGAACAGCAGACACATTTTATAAGGGTAAAACAAGCCTAGAAGCTGTCTCATACAGCAAAGTGTATGATTGTGTGTAGATGCTAAATATTATGTGTAAATACTGCTAATACATATGAAGATATGAATATATACTGGGTTAGGAGAGGGAAGAAAGAGGAAGAATTTTCCTGTCTTTGGGACAACTCTCCATGTATCAATATGCTGACATGTGGAAAGTCCCAGGAACAGGCTCTGTTTATAGGGCAAGATACAGAGCTTATACTCTTCTCCTCAGCCACGAAGACTCTTTTTCTTCTCTTTATATGTGGAAAATGTAGAGAGGACAGTGGGAGCAGCAAGATGAGGGACTTCTGGAGGTTTCTACCCTAGTGTGCAACTATAGTTTCTATGATTTCTGGCCACAGAGGTTTTGGAGTTTTTTTCCCCTCAGTTCAGACTTTCCTTGCAGGAGACAGGTACTTTCCATTTGAGTCTGCCTTTTCTGCATCTTGCAACTTGACTCTTTAGATGGTCTGAAGAAGTGCTGTCAGCATCCAGAAAGACTTGCACAAAGACAGTTTCCAACACACAATTTACAATACAAATCTAAAACCCACTTACATGTAAGTTGTATATTTATGGAAACCCAAAGCGTTAACCACTACCACGTGTAG